CTACTACTACTACTACTACTACTACTACTACTACTACTACTACTACTACTACTAATACTTCTACTACTACTACTACTACTACTACTACTACTACTACTACTACTACTACTACTACTACTACTACTACTACTACTACTACTACTACTACTACTACTACTACTACTACTACTACTACTACTACTACTACTACTACTACTACTACTACTACTACTACTACTACTACTACTACTACTACTACTACTACTACTACTACTACTACTACTACTACTACTACTACTACTACTACTACTACTACTACTACTACTACTACTACCACTACCACTACTACTACTACTACTACTGCTGCTACTACTACTACTACTACTACTACTACTACTACTGCTACTACTACGCGCCCAGCGCGCCCATGGGGAGAGCATGGCAGAGCAAGTGTTGTTGAAAGCATGTCAGGACAGAAGAGAATCCGAGACATGGAGGAATCCTGCTTTTCACGATGAGATGGTCAACATTTCTGCACGCGTGCGTGCTTTCTCTTCATCCTCATCGGCACCATCGTCGTTACCCTCAGCGGCATCGTTGCCATCGTCATCCTTACCAACATGATTCGCATTACCAACAGCGTCATCGCCGTGTTCGACACCATCACCGCAATTCTCACCCTTACCCAAAACGAAAGACACTCCTCCTGAGCTGCGAGCCGCGAAAAGCAGGTTGCACCGTGGCAAACTGATAACCAACCCTAGCCCCTCCTGAAGAGAACATTGACGCATGCGGGCTCTGGGGCCTGGGGTCTGATTTTAGGCCATCAAATCCGTATGCAAAAACAGCATGGGAATCAGATGCGGGAAAGGCGAATTCGGATCCACGCGGACGGAAATCGGATCCACCCCAACGTGAGTCGGAATCGACATCGGATCCGCGCCAACCAAAAATAGATCCGTGACAATTCCACTCACACGTGTCGCTGCCACTCTATACTGTGTCCGCTCAAGGCCCGGTGAAACGTTCGTCCTGGCCCTGAGCCTCGTCCTCCAGCTCCGCCTCATCCTTGACCTTCTCCCTCCCCTCCCTGTCCTCCCTCCTTCAATCCCCCTTGGAAGACAAGAACAGCTGCATAACTAGGAGGAAAACAAACCTACCTCGCTTTTGACCACCCTCGCTTCCAAGAGATACCAAACGATGCCAAATTGCAACCCGTACTGGTCAGGCCGCTTGACGAGGAGGCGTATGGTATGACTTGGTTTTGCCTGGAAGCGAAAGCGGGGTAGGTAATTCACGCTCTGAATAACACAAAGTGTCGGATGCCCGCGCGGAGCACCGACAGCTCGTGTTCGTGCCGAGTTTCTGCCTCGGCCATCCCCTCCCTGCCTCCCACGTCCTGCCTCCCGCGTCCTCCCTCCCCTTGCTGCTCCCCCCGAGTCCCCCGCCCCCCGTCCCCCGTCCCTCGTCCCCCCCCCTCCTCCTCCTCCTCCTCCTCCTCCCTCCTCCTCCTCTCCTCCTCCTCCTCCTCCTCCTCCTCCTCCTCCTCCTCCTCCTCCTCCTCCTCCGCTCCCTTCGCCTGCTCCTTGTCCTGCTCCCTCCCATCCCATCCCAGGTCCTGCGGGAAATGGGTCCTGGACCCCGGGGCCTTCCCCCAGGGCCAATGCTCCGTCCAGAGTAGTCAGTCTTGCCGACGGCCACGGCGCCTGGGGAAGGCCCCGGGAGCCCGAAGACGAGCGTACACCTCAAAACCCACTTGCATCAAGTCCCCAAAGCTCTGGACCTCTTCCCTGGGACCGGCTTTGCGTCCCGGATCGTGTTTTGAGAGTCCTGGGGCCTGGCGAGGGCCCCCAGGAGGCCGACGACGAAGATCCCCCGTCTTGACCCATTCAATGCGTCCCTGAAAGGCCCCCGCTGGCCGGCGCGCTGGGGCGCCGCCTGTCTCCCGGCAGCGAGGCCAGCGCGGCGGCGAGCCCGGCCGACTCGTCCAGCGAGTCTTCGGCCAGCCTGGTGGGCCGAGCGGCGGGGGGCGGGCCCCCAGACCTCCCACGCATCGAGAAATCATGTCGGCCGGTCTTCCGTGACCTTCGGCCCCCGGGGCCCTCTGCCGGGCTCGGGGACCTGGGACCGTCAAGCAGCGACTCAGGATGCAAAACCGTTCCCGGGGAAGGGGGTCGGGACTTCCAGGGACCGCGCACCGAAAAAAAACAGTACATTGGATCTCTGCGTCTGGACTGCGGCGATGCAGGCGATCGCCATCTTGTCCATGACCCTGCTCACGCCCCGATCCACACGGAGGGCCAGAGCGGGGATACGGATATCGGAGGTTGGGGGGTGAGATCGCAGTGGAACGGAGACCCCCAACTGGGAAATCGTTTCGTTTCGTTCGTGTCGTGCGTGCGGGCGAAGCTGCGCGGGCTCGCGAGAGGAATGAACCCGCCGTTGCTAGGGCGAAGTCAAGACAAATGATTCTCCCCCGCCCGCCCGCCCGTCCAGCGGTGTCCCGCGGTGTCCCGTGGTGTCCCGTGGTGTCCCGTGGTGTCCGCCGTTGCTAGGGCGAAGTCAAGACAAATGATTCTCCCCCGCCCGCCCGCCCGTCCAGCGGTGGCTCGCGGTGTCCCGCGGTGTCCCGTGGTGTCCCGTGGTGTCCCGTGGTGTCCCGTTGAGTGAGATCGATAGTGAGATCGATAGTGAGGTCGATCGTGAGATCGACAATGAGATCGATACTGAGATCGATGTGGTGCCACGAGGTGTCCCGTGGTGTCCCAAAAAGTGAGATCGATAGTGAGACCGACAGGTGTCCCGTGGTGTCCCGTGGTGTCCCGTTGAGTGAGATCGACAGTGAGATCGATAGTGAGATCGATATGGTGCCCCGTGGTGTCCCGTGGTGTCCTGTGGTGTCCCAAAGAGTGAGATCTATAGTGAGATTGATCGTGAGATCGACAGGTGTCCCGTGGTGTCCCGTGGTGTCCCAAAAAGTGAGATCGATAGTGAGATCGATAGTGAGATCGATCGTGAGATCGATAGTGAGATCGATACTGAGATCGATGTGGTGCCCCGAGGTGTCCCGTGGTGTCCCGTGGTGTCCCAAAAAGTGAGATCGATAGTGAGATTGACAGGTGTCCCGTGGCCCGTTGAGTGAGATCGATAGTGAGATCGATAGTTAGATCGATGTGGTGCCCCGAGGTGTCCTGTGGTGTCCCAAAGAGTGAGATCGATAGTGAGATTGATCGTGAGATCGACAGGTGTCCCGTGGTGTCCCGTGGTGTCCAGTGGTGTCCCGTTGAGTGAGATCGATAGTGAGATCGATAGTGAGATCGATACTGAGACCGATGTGGTGTCCCGTGGTGTCCCGTGGTGTCCTATGGTGCTCCGTTGAGTGAAATCGATAGTGAGATCGATAGTGATACCGATAGTGAGATCTAGAGGTGTCCCGCGGTGTCCCGTGGTGGCCCGTGGTGTCTCGTGGTGTCTCGTTGAGTGAGATCGATAGGGAGATCGATAGTGAGATCGACAAATGTCCCGTGGTGTCCCGTGGTGTCCCGTTGAGTGAGATCGGTAGTGAGATCGATTGAGTCAGATGTTGGTTCCCCCCCTCTCCCCCCCCCCCCAACCTCCTTATCCCCCGAAGGGTGGTCGTATAGGTAATTGTGGCCCCCGAGGCCGCGTTCTTCTGTCCATGCCCTGCCGCACCCGGCGCCCAGTGGGGGGCAGCACCACGGGTAGATCGAACATGCACCGCAGACGGGGGCGGGCCTGGATTGCGACGATGAAAGACCCATCACTAGACCAGCGCGCTTCACTACTCGCGAAATCAATAACTACTCGCAAATGGCTTGGACCCGCCGCGGGGGATTGACGACCCTCTGCATCGACGCAAGCATGTGCTTTTCGGAGCGGACACTTTGCGAGCAGTGGAGCGCACCTGGTGAATCACAGAGAGCCCGAGAACAATCCGGGCGGAAGCTCCCGCCCTGCGGACGCGCCATCGCGCAGGAGAAGCAGGGCGGCTCCGCAGAAAGGTCGGGTCTCTATGGCTCCAGTCGTGATCTTGCGCGATGGCGGCATTTGCTTCGCAACGTCGGATCTCAGGGGAGGAGCGAAAACGTGTTCTGTTGCTCTGGTCCACCTCTACTTCTGATGTCTACTGGCTGTGGGCGGCCAGCCAGCAACGCAAAGGGCCTTCGGCCAGCCCTCCCGCCACCTGAGACGCTCACAAGGCGATCTCCCTGGGCACGCCCGGCAAGACGAGGAACATCCGGCATCAACGTTGACTCTAGGCCATCCCTGCGGATATCTTGGTAGGCGCTGGACCCCCGTGGCGGCGCACCTGGCGCCGCTACGGGCGCGCTCAGCACGCCATGGGGGGTGGCCCGGCGCAGATCCGAGCGGGCCTCCAACAGAAATCATGTTTATGCCGGATGCAAGGGCTCCCAGCTTCGCGCTTCGCGCTCCGCGAAGCGCGAAGCGCGAATAACTTCGCGCTCTCGCGCCGCCCTCCCAGAGGGAGAATAGGAGGACGAGGAGGAGGGGGAGAAGGAACGAGGACCGCGAAGCGCGAAGCGCGAATAACTTCGCGCCCTCGAGGGAGCCCTTGCGGATGCCTCTGCTCGAGAGGTGTGGGGACGCTGCCTCTGGGGCCCAGAGGGGGGCTCGCAAACCCTGGCCCGAGGCACGTGCGCGGCCCAAGGAGGCCCCAGGGACGTCTTGAGAGAAGACGAGAGAAGCAGGCCAGGTGCCAGACCCCTCCCTCCCCCCTCCTCCTCCTCCTCCTCCTCCTCCTCCTCCTCCTCCTCCTCCTCCTCCGCCTCCTGGCGGGGCCGAGCAGATCGGCGCAGACCCTGCTCCCCAGCCTTTGGCGGCGCGCCCTAAGAGGGTACGGGGCAGGGGGGGAAGGCTTCTCAGGAAGCTGCTTCTCGGAAGGCGCCGGCCTTGCATCTACAGACGAGGCCCGCGCCTTCTGAGAAGCAGAGGTGCTCCCAAGGAGCCTTCCTCCCTCCCCCCTGGCCCCCTGCTGCGCGTGGCCGAATCCTCCTCCCAGAGGTCTGGGCCCCCCGAGCCTCAGCAGCAGCGTTCGCCTCTCGCGATAGCCGCTGCGGATGGCGGACAAGAGGCGGTCGGCGCTGGGGCGAAAATCCGCGGGCGCGGGCGCGCAGGTGGCAGCGGCGGCGGTGGGAAACCCCCGTCCCCGCTCCCCAACTTGTCCCTCCCCTTTATCCCTCCCTTTCCGTTTATCCCTCCCCGTTATCTCTCCCCTTTATCCCCCCTTTATCCCTCCCCTTTATCCCTCCCCGTTCCCCCCTTTATCCCTCCCCCCTTTATCCCTCCCCGTTCCCCCCGTTCCCCCCCTTTGTCCCTCCCCTGCCCAGGATCAGGCAGCGTCGAAGCCGGGAAATCGGATCGACTTGGCATGCGCGTCGGATCGGGCTGCACGGGCACGGAGTCGGGACCGCATCGGATATGCTGCCCTAAACTGCACGACGCTGGCATGCCTCGGATCGCTGGGGCATCGAATTCGCATCCGGCCAGGCCGGCCGACATCGACATCGAATCGGATCGATCGGATCGACATGGGCAATGCCTTGTCAATACCCTCCCTCCCTTCCTCCCTCCCTCCTCCGTCCCCACTGCCCCCTCCATCCACCCCTTCCGGCCGTGTGATCCCGCGGGGCGGTGAGAATCTTCGCCGTCGGCGCCCACCTGCGCGGGGGGCAGAGGAACACGCGTCAGACGAAAGCAGGATGAGCACAGATCCGGGTGAGGATCGTTTCTGGGGGGGAAGGGAAGAATGAGCGGACAGCACCACGAAGCAACATCTCAGCGAAGAAGACTCTGCTGCGGTTCGACGGAAGATAAATGCCCCTCGATTTCAAACTGCGGCACCAAATGCACCGAGGAGGGATCCTCTACCACGGTCCTCCACACCGAGCGTGCCGATGGAGGAGCGGCAGAGTTTCAATGTCGTTTCGAAGGCGGACGGGCGGTCCAGGACGGATGAGGATTACAGAAGGCGCATCGAAAAAGATATCGGCCTGCCATCAGGTTGTCCCGAGGAAATATGTATAATCCCCCGAGGGTTCCAGGGACCAACAAAAAACTCTGGGGCACCTGAGACCAAGAAGGATCGACGGAGAATGTGCCCGACCAAAATTCTTACAGCACGATGTATTACCGCATGTCCTTGCCCTATAGACTGATACACACTATACCTACACGACCACCCTTCGGGTGGGTGATAAGGAGGTTCGGGGGGGGGAGGAACCAACGTCTCACTCGATCGGTCTCACTATCGATCTCACTATCGATCTCAGTATCGGTCTCGCTCGATCGATCTCCCTCGATCGATCTCACAATCGATCTCACAATCGATCTCACTCGATCTATCTCACACTCGATCTCACTCGATCATCATCATCATCATCATCATCATCATCATCATCATCATCATCATCATCATCATCATCATCATCATCATCATCATCATCATCATCATCATCATCATCATCATCATCATCATCATCATCATCATCATCATCATCATCATCATCATCATCACATCATCATCATCATCATCATCATCATCATCACATCATCATCATCATCATCATCATCATCATCATCATCATCATCATCATCATCATCATCATCATCATCATCATCATCATCATCATCATCGCGGGACACCGCGGGACACCGGCGGGACACCGCGGGGCACCGCGGGACACCGCGGGACACCGCGGGACACCGGCGGGACACCGCGGGCCACCGGCCGCCTGGAAGGGAGACATTTGGTCCGGCCGCGCCTCAGCCACACGGGACACCAGCGGGACACCGGCGGGACACCGCGGGCCACCGGCCGCCCGGAAGGGAGACATTTGGTCCGGCCGCGCCTCAGCCACAGGAGACTTTCTTCTCGCCCGCCCACGCAGCTTCGCCTCGCCCGCACGCACGGCACGCACGAACACGAAACCGAAATCGATTTCCTGGTAGGGGGGCTCTCCGTTCCATTTCGATCTCACCCCCTCACCTCCGACCTACATACATACATACATACATACATACATACATACATACATACATACATACATACATACATACATACATACATACATACATACATACATACATACATACATACACACACATACATACATACATACATACATACATACATACATACATACATACATACATACATACATACATACATACATATACATACATATATATATACATACATACATACATACATACATACATACACACACATACATACATACATACATACACACATACATACACACGCAAACATACATACATACATACACACATACGTACGTACGTACGTACATACATACATACATACAACATGTATACTCACATACATACATACATGCATGCATGCATGGGTACATACATACATTCAATCAGACATCACATATCAATACATGCATGCATGCATGAATACATGCATGCATACATGCATGCATGTCTACACACATAACGGCATACACACATACACACATACATACATGCATGCATGCATGCATACATACATTCATACAGACATACACACATACACAAATACACACATCCATACATACGTACATAGGTACATACATACATGTATGCATGTATGCATGCATGCGTATACACATACATATATACATACATACATACATACATACATACATACATACATACATACATGTATACATACACACATGCGAACACACAAACAAGCAAACAAACATACATACATATACACGTACATACATACATACAGTCATACCTACATACACACATACATACGTACATACATACATACGTACGTACATACATACATACATGCATACACACATGCAAGCATGCATGCATGCATACATACATATACACATACATACACACACGTACATGTCGACACTTCAAGGACATACACATGTCAATACATCGATATATATGTGTGTAAACATGTATGTGTATATATATATATATATAGAAAGCTGTGCATATAATCGTACACATACAAGACTGCATTGGCGCTTCGCATCGTGCACCTTGGTGCTTGAAGTTTGGCATGCGTGCGGAATGGCAGGAAGGTCAAACAGACAATGTAGCGATACCTCCTTGTTGACGTTTCTGGCATCGCCGTTATAATAATGTTATTCGTTATCCTTCCTCCATGTTTATGTTTCCTCATTCTTGCCCTACCCTGCGAATTCTTCCTCATCCTCCTCAACTCTTTTTGTGGAGGCTCCTCCTTGGAGAGTCTCTGGGGGCCTCTCGGAAGTTTTTCAAGCTTTCTCAAGGCTTTCTGGAGGCCTCCTGGGCATCTTCTGGGGGCCTCTGGGGGCTTTCTCGAGCCAGCCTGCCTCCAACCACGGTTTCCCTGAACGACGGGGTCACGACTTGGAATGTTTCGGAAGGTGTCTTGGGGTCATCTTGGGCCGTCATGGGGCTCTCTCAGACCATCTTGGAACCCTGTTGTGCCATCTTGGGGCTGTCTTGGACTGCCTGGAAGCCCTTTCGGATGGTTTTGAGGCGATAATCGAAACTCCCAGGCGGTCTCGGACGCCCGGAAGACCGAAGAACAGGGCATCCCCAAAATCATACAAAAACCTTGAGCAATCAATGAATTTCTGCGTTTTGGAAACCTCTTGGAGGTCTTCTTTGGGTCGTCTTTGGGCGTCTGGTGGATGTCTGGGGCGTCTTGGGGCCCTCGGGGGAGGCGTTCGGCCGCCCTCCTGACCGATTTGGGCACGCTGCCTAGGCCCAGCAAGGGCTCCCAAGAGCTCTGAAACGCAGGGGGGGCCTCGTGCAGGGGCGTCCAAGGGGCCCCCCGGGGCCACGGATCCAGGGGGTCCAGAGGGCCGGGGGGTCCCGGGATTCGTGGGGTCAAATTTGTTGTTTGGGGGATCCCGGGGGATAGAAATGCAAGAATTGGTGTATATATTATATATGTACCGATATATGCATATATGTAGGTATGTCTATGTGCATGTGTATATGTATACGTATACGTATATGCATAAATATATGTCTATGTATATGTGTGTCTATGAGCATGTATATGTATATGTATATATACTTATATATAAATAAATGTAAATGTGAATGTGCATGTGCATGTATATGGATGAGCATATGCGCATGTCATGGTAAATGCATGTAGTGTATAGCTATATGTATACGTGTGTTTGTCTGTGTATGTATACATTTATGATTGTGTATATGCATATATATACATATGCAGTTGTAAGTATGTATATGTTATTCTATATATATATATATATATATATATGGCGCAGTTGTATGTGTATATGCTTATGTGTGCAAATATGTGAAGATATACATACAACTGTATACATATATGTATATCCATGTATACATATACGTATATGTATATGCATGTTGTGTTATCCACGCGTTTGGCGCCACCGACGCGAACGTGGTGGCGCTGACCGCTCGGCACATCCTCGCGGGCATTTCAGTGCGAGTCGTGATATCATGGCAACGCCGGCAACAGTAGACACGATGATTATAATAGCGATGCTGGCGACGATGCTGACAACGACGACGTGGTAGTCATAGACGGCGCCGATGCTGATCACCCCGACGACGATGCCGGTGTCGTCGCGTCGGTGATGAAGGTTTTGGAAGGAATTCGAAATGCGCGCGCGGCAGACGCGCGGGTGTGGCTCGCATCGTTTTATTTGACACGGGTCGTGCCACCCCAGCACGCGCGCAAAGGCGTTCGAACGATTTCGACATGCGCGCGCGAAACCCGTTTGGTAGCATTTTATGAAAATGTTGAAAAACGCTTGGTTTTCTTTATACTTCGCAAGAGCGCGCACGCTTCTGCCGAACATCCGTGTTGCGAAACCCTGTTTTTATGATTTTTGGACACCCGATTTTGAAATCTCTCCGAAACCGAAGGTTTCTGAATGATTCTGGCATGCGCGCGCGACAACGCGCGCGTGCGCACTTCGTCGCGTTTTTTGCAAGGAATGCAAACTTCTGATTTTTGATAAACGAGTGTGCGCGCACATTCTTTTTGGTTTGCATAGGGTGGCGGGGGGTACCGATACCCGCTTGGCTGGGATAGTATGAATACAGGTAGGATGTACATTGGGTCAGGATCATATGTGTTTTGCATCGGTTTCCGGGGGGTCGATAAGTCGGGGGGGAGGGTGGTGGAACCTATTTTTTTTAAAAAAAGGAGAGTCGATGTGGTGCTGTTAAGCGTTGCTATATATTAGATTGGTGCAGTCGTTGTTGTGCACTACACAAGATGTGCAATCCAGACGGGTGAAATCTATGTGGTGCAACTGACTACCCTGCACCGCGCCTGACCACCTCCACTGCTCGCGCAAACATCCCACCCACCCACCCGCAACTTGGTTTGCAAAATCTCTTAAGACCGTGACGGTGGGTACCAAATGGCACTTGGCAACGACAGCGACGCCGACGACGACAGCGACAACGACGACGACGACGCCAACGACAACGACTACGACGACACCGACGACGTCTCCAACGACTGCGACGACGCCGACAACGACGACGACGACGACGACGACGACACCGACGACGACGACGCCGACGCCGACGACGACGATGACAACGACGACGACAATGACGACGCCGACGACGACGACAACGACGACACCGACGACGACCACGACGACGACGTCAACGAC